TAAGTGAAGTGGGATTGTCAGAAAAACATTTATATAAACACTTTTTTCTTTTCATGTAGTAAAAAACATTTTAAAGTATTTTAATATTAGGAAATTAGGTAAGTGTAATCTTACTGGTTTGTGTATATGTTTACATTTTTCTTTGTAGATTATTTTTGGAAACATTGTCTTCATCAACCAAGATTTTATTGATTATATCGGAAAGTATTCTATGCTTTCAAAAAACGTAACCAACAATTTAAAAATGGTTATTTTTCTTGTTAATGGTATTGATTTTGATATCCCTGTATACAGCCAACCCAACATCATAAAAGATTTGCCTTGTAATTTTGAGGTTTATAATATATATTTACTGGCTCTTGTAACCAAGTAAACCGTGGTATTGCCAGGTGAATTAATCAGTCATCTTTCTCAACATTACTAAGTCCCCACAACAATCAAACGTTAAAAATGAGATACATACTGAAGGAATACAGATAAAGTTCCAGATTGGTCAGTTTTTTTAATCATCTTAGACAACCACTTATATTAAATATTAACAGGTAGTTTTAATAACAGGGTGTGAGAAAATTCATAAAGCAGTTTGAAATGCATCACTTATTACCTGAGAGGAAAACCAAACTTCTCTACTGATGTTTGGAAGAATGCCAGTGTTGTTGTGGCCAGATTATTGGTGGCAGCTCCAAGATACATAATCTGAATCAGAAAAACAAAAATGAGCGACATCCATGTAAACATCTCATTTGACTGACCAACTTAACATACCTTGCGAGAAAAGCCATCAATACCCCCGAAGATGACAATGTTATAGCTGAGTGAGGAAACAGAACAGAAAAAAGTTAATAGTGCTTGAATGCAACCAGTCTAAAAACAAAACACAGTTTAAATTATTTACAACTCTAAAAATTCTCAGGATTTTCATGAACAAAAACAGATCAAATAATTTTACCGTATCAGTTTATGGTTTGTGTCAATATGCATTAGAGACTGTGGTCCTGGGACAGAATAAGCCCGTCGAGCAATGCAACCTAACGAAACCATCCTTGACACGACACCAGCTGTGTCAACACGGTGCATGGCTGCTCGAACTCTGTGGTATTGGACTCTGTGTCCTCTGGCCTGAAGAAGTGCCTTCACCATCCGATATCCAGAGTGAGGCTGCCTGGATTTTATGTCTCTAATGCACTGGTCCAACTCAGCATCTGACATGCTGCTGTAGAGTGCCCTGACAGAAAGGTTGAACTCCTCCATACGTCGAAATACAGTGCTTCTGGACATTCCCAACATTTTAGCAATGGCTGGGATGGACAAGTTAAGTTCTAAAAGGCTACGAAGATGATGAGGGGAAAGAACCATTCTGTGGCGCCCAGTAGATCCTCGCTCAAACTGAATGACAGCAGTATGTTGATTTATATTTTCCTTTACTCTGCTTATAAGTGTGTGTAAACTGCTCAGTGCCTCTAAAATGACAGGGCAAACATCTACCTGAC